TTTGTTTTTCCCTTGCTTTTAATGTTTTTTCTTTGAATTTAATTTTGGTTAGTTTGATTAATACGTGTCTTGGTGTGTTTCTCCTGGTGTTTATCCTGGATTGGACTCTCTGTGCTTCCTGGACTTGGGTACCATTTTTTTTTTTTTTTTTTTTGCAGTTTGTGGGCCTCTCACTGCTGTGGCCTCTTCCGTTGTGGCGCACAGTCTCCAGATGTGCAGGCTCAGCAGCCATGTCTCACGGGCCCAGCCGCTCCATGGCATGTGGGATCTTCCCAGACCGGGGCACAAACCCATGTCCCCTGCATCGGCAGGCAGACTCTCAACCACTGTGCCCCCAGGGAAGCCCCTTGGGTACTATTTTCTTTCCCATGTTAGGGAAGTTTTCCACTATAATCTCTTCAAGTATTTTCTCAGACCCTTTCTTTTTCTCTTCTTCTTCTGGGACCACTATAATTTGAATGTTGGTGTGTTTAATGTCATCCCAGAGGTCTCTGAGATCATCTTCAATTCTTTTCATTCTTTTTTCTTTATTCTGCTCCTCAGCAGTTATTTCCACCATTCTGTCTTCCAGCTCATTTATTCATTCTTCTGCCTCAGTTATTCTGTTTTTGATTCCTTCTAGTGTATATTTCATTTCAGTTACTGTGTTGTTCATTTCTGTTTGTTCTTTAGTTCTTCTAGATCTTTGCTAAACATTTCTTGTATTTTCTCAACCTGTGCCCACATTCTATTTCTGAGATTCTGGATCATCTTTAGTATCATTATTATGAATTATTTTCAGGTAGATTGTTTATTTCCTCCTCATTTATTTGGTCTTGTAGGTTTTTACCTTGCTCCTTCATCTGTGACATATTCTTTTGCTGTCTCTTTTTTTTTTTTTTTTTTTTATAAGTGGGATTGTGTTCCTGTCTTACTGATTGTTTGGCCTGAGGCTTCCAACACTGGAGTTTGTAGGCTGTTGGGTAGAGCTGGGTCTTGGTGCTGGGATGAGGACCTCCGGGAGACCTCATTCCGATGAATATTCCCTGGGGTCTGAGGTTCTCTGTTAGTCCTGTGGTTCGGACTCGGAGCTCCCACTGCAGGAGCTTCAGCCCGACCCCCAGCTCATGAACCAAGATCCTGCAAGCTGCGTGGAGCAGCAGAAAGAAAAAAGGGGAGAACAATAACAAAGTAAAAAATAAAATTAGACTAGGAAACTAACAGATATGTTAGAAAGAATATAAAAATATAGACGAAACAACAACCAGAAGGTGAAACAGAACCACAATAGTAAAAAAGAGGAGGAGAAAAAAAATGGTGGAAAAGACCTTGGTTATGGAGGGCAAGGCCTAAGCAGGAGTGGGGTTGGGTGGTGGGCGGGGTCTATGTTTAGGACCCACAGGGCTGGAAGAGGCTCTGGGGGGTGTGGTGGGTGGGGCTTAGGCTCAATGGAACAGACGGGGCCCAGGCCTGCCTCCCACCTCTGGTCTCAGAGGGCAGGGGACCCCAACTGGGAGCTCAGTAGGTTTCCTGGGCTCGAGTAGGCAGGGCCAATGCCCTCTGCTTCTTTCCTGCCTGCTCCTCTGTTCCTGGAGGGCCCCTCCTATTCTCCCCCACCCCGCCTCCCTCCTATGGCCCCAGGACCCACGCGGCCCAGAGGGGGCCTCTGAAGGCATAGGACCTGGCCCGAGAGCTGGGCAGACTTTTCTGCTGATTGGGTAGGGGATACGCTGGGCATGCTCCTCCTTGATCTGAGCCCCCAAGGGTCCATGCAGGTGTGGGAACACCTTCCACCTCTCAGCTGCCCCTCAGGGGCGCCAGTACCGTCTGGCCTCTACTTCTCCTTCCCCTCAGTCCCCCCACGTCCTACCAGTTCACTTGGGAGTTCCTCCCATCACCTTGGGCGTTGAAGTCCCCCACCAGCGTCCCATGGGTGCCCTAGTTGTGGAAAGACGTGAACTTCACGTCTTCCCACACCACCATCTTGACTCTGCCCCTATAATAGTCATTTTAAACTTAACATTTCCAAAGTCAAATTCCTAATTTTCCTAAATCCATTCTCCCACAGTCTTGGCATCATCCTTGATTTCTCTTTCTCCCACATCCCACATGAAGCTCATAAGTTAATGTTTTAAGTTCTGTCTTCAAAATACATCAGAATCTACCCATGTTTTTCCCCATGGTGGTCCAAGCCAACATGACCACTCACCTGAGTTACTACAATATCTCCTTGCTTGTTTTTATGCTCTGGTCTCACCCGCTGAGAGCCCTAGCCATTCTGGTCTCAACATAGCAGCCTCAATGATTCTTTAATAGTATAAGTCAGATTATGTCACTCTTCTTATGAAAACCCTGTAATGACCCTGCATCTCACTCAGAGTAGCCAAAGTCCTTACAACGACCTCTCTGACCTCATCTTCTACAAACTCTCCTGGCTTTCCCCACCTCAGTCTCCTTGGCTCCCTGCTTTTCTTCTAACAGGCCAGGCAAGCTCCCACTCCAGGGCCTTTGCACTTGCTCTTCCTTCTGCCTACAGTGCCCTTCTCCAGGGAGCTGCATATGCAAATGTGCTCAAATATCACCTCCTTGGAGAGGTCTTCCTGGTCCACCCTATTTAAAATTGCAGCTCCCTCCCCACCCCTGCTTCTCTCTAATCCCCTTTATTGCTTTATTTTTCTCCCTAGAACTCATTATTATAATACATACTATATATTTACTTTAAAAAGTGTCTTTTCTCTCCACAGCTCAGGGGTTTTATGTTTTGTTCACTGCTTATTCCCTAACACTTAGAATGATTATTCTTATTCCCTAACACTTATTCCCTAACAGTTTAGCACATAGTAGGCTATCACTTGTTGGATGAATAAATGAAAACTACCATTGTGCTTCTGCCAACTTCTCTTTATCTTTGTAAAAGCTATGTTTGGTGTGTTTTGTTGCTCTAGTAATATAGCTTTTATTGTTTCAACATAATCTTGTTTAATCTCACTTAATAATTTGGTCTCAAATGCTATTTTTTTTTCTCCTCCTCTTCCACCTCCTTTTTGTTCTTCTTCTTACCAAGTTATGGTCTTTTCTCCCCCCCATTGTTGGAAAGACTTCAAAGTGTTTCTTTTTGTTTTAGGTTCCAAGTCATATTATCTGCTAAGAAAATAAGATGGGAGAACAGAGCTTCTAGGTGGCCTAGGAAAATTGTTTTGTCTCAGGCAAAAATTCCTATGGTGGTGACTCATATGTAAAGTGATTAGTATTGGATTAGTATTGTAGCATTAACTTATGATTAGTAAAAATACACACACACACATACACACACACACACACACACACACACACACACACACACACACCCCTTCCGAGGTGGGGTAGAGCATACTAGGCAAAGGGAACAGTTATTGCAAAAGCCCTTGGGTAGAGGTGGGCCTGGCCCTTCTGATGAACAGAGAGAAGGCCAAGTGTGGCTGAAAGAGAGAGAGAAAGAGGAAGAAAGACAGTTGTGTGTGTGATACCTGAGGATGGCGGTGAGGCAGGCAGGGCCAGCTCAGGGAGGACATTGTAGGTCAGAGTAAGACATTAAATTTTTATTCTATATGTGATGGGAAGCCATGGAAGGGCTTAAGCAGGAGAGTGATGTGACGGGTTTGTATTTTTAAAAGCTCACTCTGGATTCTGTGTGGAAACTAGATTGCAGGGGGCAGGAGTGAAAGCAGAGAGGCAAGTCAGGATGTCATTGCCATCATCTAGGCGAGAGACAATGGCCACATGTTCTAGGAGCCTAGCGATGGAGATGGAGAGAAGCGGGCAGATTCAGGATGGGTTCTGATGTGGCTTCCACAGGGCTAGCTGTGGGGGGCGGTGGGGGAGCAAAGAGAAGAATCAGGAATGATTTTCAGGTTTGTAGATTGAACAACTAAGTGGATGGTGTCCTGCTATGTACTGAAACATCGCCTGAAATGGAGATACTTGGAGGGGAGCTGGTTTGGGGACCGGCAGAGCAGGGCAGGAAATTAAGAGTTTGTTTTGGCTAAGTTGTTTCAATTGCCTGTTTGACCTCCAAGTGAAGATGACAAATAGGCAATTGGATACAAGAGTCTGGAGCTGGGGAGAGACGTCAGCGGTGGTGATAGAGATTTGTAAACTCATCGGCAAATAGATGATATTTAAAAACCGTAAGACTGGATGAAATCATGTAGGGAGAGAGTACAGAGGAGAGAAGGGAGCTTGGGAGTCCCTGGGAACAAGCCCTCGTTAGACAAACAGGAGCCTGGGGAGAGCAGGTCTCCCAGGGCTGCGGCTCCAGATTGGGGGTCCAGTGGAGCAGACAAAGGTGATAAGTGACAACCATATGAATTGGTGGAATATGTAAGAATTCTCAGAGATCCTTGGGAAAGGGAACTCTGTAAGAGACCGGATTTCCTGAAGTCTTGCAGACTGAGGGTTCAGTTTATTGCTGCTTATGCATTAAAAGGAAGTGTGACCTGCTAGCAGGAGAAACAAGAGGACGTCTGGATCACTCCTCTTTTCATGGGCTTGTCACTCCCACCTACCATGAGCCTCCCAAGGGCAGGTGCCCTGACTCCTTTGCCTCTGTACCCTGTGCCCTGCTCAGAATAGCTGCTGCTTGAATGAGGGAATAGAATGAACGTCTAACAGGCCTTGTACAAATTGTCTAAAAAGGAGACTGTCTAAATAATGAGATCTGCAAGCCAACAGGAGAGGGGACGCTGAGAAACCAGGACCAATGGCTCCTTACAGCCCAGCCTGCAAGCCCTCTTCGGCCATGGAACAGTGGCGCTCTTTGCTGCTCCTCCTGAGCAAGAGAATACTTGCTTCCCTCTCCAGAACGGTGGAGAAACCCATCCATCCCCAAGCAGAGCACCCTGCAGGCTCACAACACAGACAGGAAACATATGGAGCAGGATTTCTCAGAAGTCCCCAAGGAAGGAAGATGGTGGTTTCTCCTCCCTCCCGGATCCTGGTGGATGGGCAGGGGGAGCATCAAAACCAGTAGTGGGGGGACACGGGCTGAGAAGCAGATTTTAAAAGCAGTTTCTCTTCAAATCATCTTTCATACCACCTGATAAGCATCTTGATTCACCATGGCATTGGCAGCAGTAAAATGGGCTATATCAAGCAGAACTATCTTGAAATATTTATTTCCAATTCAAAATGGAGCCTTATATCGTGCTTGTCATAAAACTATGTATCCTTCTCTTCCAGATGACTATAATTGCAAAGTAGAGCTTGCTTTGACATCTGATGGCAGGACAATAGTATGCTATCACCCTTCTGTGGACATTCCGTATGAGCACACAAAACCTATCCCTCGGCCAGATCCTGTGCAGAATAATGAAGAAACACATGATCTAGTGCTGAAAACCAGATTAGAAGAAAAAGGTGAACACTTAGAGCAAGGACCCATGATAGAACAACTTAGCAAAATGTTCTTTACTACTAAGCACCGTTGGTATCCTCGTGGACAGTATCATAGACGTCGTAGGAAACTGAATCCTCCAAAAGACAGATGATATTGAGGTTTTCAGGAATCAAAGAGAAATGTTATCCTGCGTCTCATTTGCCATTTGAGAAAATACAATTGGGTATATTCACTAATATGTTATATAGTAAAATAATAAAATGTCTTCTCATATTAAAAAAAACAAAAAAAAACAGTACTGGGAAGGGACCTTGAGCAGACGTGGTTGGTGGTGGGAGTGGTGGGATGGGGTAAACTAGAGCAGGGAGGGTGGAGCTTCTGCCCCCTCCAAAGCTGACCTTTGTTTTAGTTCAGCCGGGAGTTCCCTTGGGATGGGGTGGCCTCGTCAGCCATGAGAGCATAGAAGCAGAGATATCTGTTTAGGAGGAAGAGGAAAGTTGAAGTAGAGATGAGAGAGAAACTTCTGGAAGTTCTCTGATGGCTTCACTTCCTGACTTCAGGCTTTCCCCAGGCCCAGCTGATTTAGGGTTCAATGAGATACACCTACATCCTCCCAACAAATTGTGCCTGGGGTAGTCTGAGATGATTTTTGTTCCTGAACGCAAACAGAACCTCCACCATGACAACAGAGTAGCCCAGGACACTCTTGGCCTGTCCTCTTTCACTTTCCCAGAAGGGCTGGTGCTACGGCAGTACTACAGGGAGCTCTTCTCCAAAAGTTCTGTCCAGCTGCCCCTGGCTGGATTCCCATTTGTTCTGTGTATCAGTGAAAATATCTCCTCATCCTGTAACCCTTGTTTAGACTCCACTGTCTGTCCTTGTGATGTTTGGAATAACAGGAAACAAGGGCATCCTTCACTCAAGGCTGTCTGGGAATTACACCTGAAAACACCAAAGCCACAAAGGCAATTACAACAAAGGAACACACAGCCAAACCCCAACTGTCCCCTGGAAACCCAAATGGGGAAGTAATAACTAGGACAGTCTCACCTTTGACAGAGGAAGAAACTAACTACCCTAGGGACCTTGGACGGGCCACTGAACTTCCTTGGCCCACAGTTCTCCATCTGGAGAATGTTGGTGGGGTTGGGAAAGCACACACAAACTAGGTCATGAGGATGAAAAGAGAACGTAGTGTCTGGCACATAGTATGTTCTCAATAAATGTTAATTCTTCTTCTTATTAAAAGAGATTCTGGATAGGCAAAAAAAGGGGATTCTGGGAAATAAAATACTTCCAGGTTTATATTGCTTGAAGTGCTTCTCAGTATGCCTGGCATATAGGAAGGTGTAAAAAATGGTAGCTATCTGTTTAATGTCAGGACAAGAACCGAAGCAAATTCAGGCGAGCCAAAGCCATTTGATTTGGTGGTGGTGGAGCTGGGGGTCAACTCTTTCTTCTTTCTGTTTAGAATTCTAGTGATGTTACCTGAATGTGGTTATGCGATAAAATCGCTGAAAATTTGTTTGATTAAACATTATATTTGCTGACCAGTTAACAACCCATAGAGAAGGCAATCACCTGGGTTTGTCAGAAGTCCATCCTGCAGGAGGACAGGAGTGCCTAGGCAGGGGTGGGGAGGAAAAGGAGGTGGTGGAGATGTGATCGAGGGAAAGTATGGGGAGTAAGGGTCTGCTGAGCTTGGAGGCAGGAGAGATGGGTGAATGGAGAGAGAAAGGAGAAAGTCCCTCCAGAAAGTGGCCCCCTGTTGAAGGCAAAGGCATCTATTTTATTTTATGCCATGTCACATTATTTAATTTCATTTATTTATTTGCAAAGCTGGTTTCTCAGCTCTCTTTATTTCCAGAGCACTTCTCTGGGCAAGTACTAGCCAGACCACAGCATGAGAACTGAGGTCTGACTTCAGGCTCCTTCCATAAACTCCTCACATCCCAGCCCAGGGAAGGGAAGCTGAGATCCCTGTCCTAAATGTGTGTGTGGTACAGTGGGCCAGGAGGATGGCAGGAGGGGTCTTCTAGGCTCCAAGAGCTTCACTTCACTTCCCTTGGTTGGGAGTGAAGGCTGCTTGTTGTCACTAACACTCCATCCTCACCTGGCTCGACCATGACCCTGGGTGCTGATCCCAGCTCTGCCATCTGCCCTCTGTTTGGCCCTGGAAAATCCCCTTCTTCTTTCTGGGTCTCAGTTTCCCCATCTGAAAGGGGAGGTGTTGGACTGAATGAACTCAGAGGGCCTCTCCAGCTCAGTCTGTAAATCTCTGAGGTGCTCGAATGACTAGGGAAAGGAAAGAGACAGGGGCAGGAATCCCAGAGCTTCTGATCAGATGCTGGCCCTCCACCCCCCACTTGGGGAATTAGGGTAAAGCAAGTTAATCTGGTTACTGTAACAAAGGGAAACTGAAGCAGTCCCATTCTAATAGTTCCTTTTTACCTGACTGCAAATTTTACTCTTCTCACTTTTAAATAGGAAAAGCCAGGTGGACAATCACCTAAAGGGTACAGTCTATAGTATTGCATTCTAAAGGCTCTGGAGTATGACTGTCCTAAGGAGTGACACAGTCAAACGTTGACCCAGGGGTCATGGTGTATTATAATGATCTGCTATGTATCCCTCTCCCACTAGAGTGAGAGCTCTCCAGGGGTAGAGGTTAGGTCACATTTAGCTGCAAAACAGTAAAAAGTATTAGTGGGTTGAGGGGCCTCCGTTTCATCCCTGACTCATGAACCAGTTGAGAAGTATGCCAAAGAATAAACTTTCATCTTTCCTACTGTAGAGCTGTTATTGGAGACTATGTCTTAGAGCTGCAGACATAATAGTGAACACTAGTTTTATTCATCCATTTATAGACATTGCAAGGAATATGCACATCTCCCCATGTGAGGTCTGTTCTTATAAAACTTGGTGCACAAAGCAGATGTGAATGTGTACTCCCAAAGGGAAAGGAAAGAGGAAGGCACAGAGCTCCACACACTCATGTTCTCTCCCAAACTCATGAATAATGTAAGTTGTATTTCTTCCTCCAGGAGGTGTGAAGTGGGGGAGACCCAGGAGGGTTATACTAATGGGTTTCTCTACAAGGAAGAAGGAGTGGGTAAGAAGCATTCTCCCCTAAGCACTCCGTTCTAGGCATGTATCATGAACTCAGTATGTTCACATAGGGCAGTGGATGTTTATCATCTTTTTGGCTGTCCAGTATCCAAGCCTCTTTCTATGTTTCTTTTTAGGGGAGAAAGTTCATCCAACCACAGAGAGGTAGAGCCTGCTTCTCACTATAGAAGATAAAAAATACCAGAGCTTGCATCTCAACCTCCCTTGAACTGTAGTGTAGCCTCATGGACTATTATTTACCAATCTGATAAAACTGATTTTAAATCATAAGATAAGTGACATTAAAAAGTAGGGACCAAGAGATTGGTTCAAGATGGCAGAGTAGAAGGACGTGCTCTCACTCCCTCTTGCAAGGAAACCAAAATCACAATTAACTGCTGAACAATCATCGACAGGAAGACACTGGAACTCACCAAAAAAGATACCCCACATCCAAAGAAAAAGGAGAAGCCTCAATGAGATGGTAGGAGGGGCAGCAATCACAAAATTAAATCCCATAACTGCTGGGTGGGTGACTCACAAACTGGAGAACACTTATACCACAGAACCCCACCCACTGGAGTGAAGGTTCTGAGCCCCACGTCAGGATTCTGACCCTGGGGTTCTGGCAACGGGAGGAGGAATTCCTAGAAAATCAGACTTTGAAGGACAGTGGGATTTGATTGCAGGACTTTGACAAGACTGGGGGAAACAGAGACTGCACTCTTGGAGGGCACACACAAAGTAGTGTGCACATCAGGACCCAGGGGAAGGAGCAGTGACCCCATAGGAGACTGAACCAGACCTACCTGCCAGCGTTGGAGGGTCTCCTGCAGAGGCGGGGGCTGGCTGTGTCTTACCATGAGGACAAGGACACTGGCAGCAGAAGTTCTGGGAAGTACTCCTTGGCTTGAGCCCTCCCAGAGTCTGCCATTAGCCCCACCAAAGAGACCAGGTAGGCTCCAGTGTTGGGTCGCATCAGGCCAAACAACCAACAGAGAGGGAACCCAGCCCCACAAGTGGATTAAATTTTTACTGAGCTCTGCCCACCAAAGCAACAGCCAGCTCACCCACCACCAGTCTCTCCCATCAGGAAACTTGCACAAGCCTCTTAGATAGCCTCATCCACCAGAGGGCAGAAAGCAGAAGCAAGAAGAACAACAAACCTGCAGCCTGTGGAACAAAAACCACATTCACAGAAAGATAGACGAGATGAAAAGGCAGAGGCTATGTACCAGATGAAGGAACAAGATAAAACCACAGAAAAACAGCTAAGTGAAGTGGAGATAGGCAACCTTCCAGAAAAAGAATTCAGAATAATGATAGTGAAGATGATCCAGCACCCCGGAAAAAGAATGGAGGCAAAGATCAAGAAGATGCAAGAAATGTTTAACAAAGACCTAGAAGAATTAAAGAACAAACAGAGATGAACAATACAATAACTGAAATGAAAAATACACTAGAAGGCATCCACAGCAGAATGACTGAGGCAGAAGAACAGATAAGTGACCTGGAAGACAGAATGCTGGAATTCACTGCTGTGGAACAAAATAAAGAAAAAAGAATGAAAAGAAATGAAGACAGCCTAAGAGACCTCTGGGATAACATTAAACGCAAGAACATTTGCATTATAGGGGTCCCAGAAGGAGAAGAGAGAGAGAAAGGACCTGAAAAAATATTTGAATAGATTATAGTCGAAAACTTCCCTAACATGGGAAAGGAAATAGCCACCCAAGTCCAGGAAGTGCAGAGAGTCCTAGGTAGGATAAACCCAAGGAGAAACACACCGAGACACATAGTAATCAAACTGGCAAAAATTAAAGACAGAAAAATTATTGAAAGCAGCAAGGGAAAAACAACAAATAACATACAAGGGAACTCCCATAAAGTTAACAGCTGATTTCTCAGCAGAAACTCTACAAGACAGAAGGGAGTGGCATGACATACTTAAAGTGATGAAAGGGAAGAACCTAGAACCAAGATTACTCTACCTGGCAAGGATCTCGTTCAGATTCGATGGAGAAATTAAAAGCTTTACAGACAAGCAAAAGCTAAGAGAATTCAACACCACCAAACCAGCTCTGCAACAAAGGCTAAAGGAACTTCTCTAAGTGGGTAACACAAGAGAAGAAAAGGACCTACAAAAACAAACCCAAAACATTTAAG